GGCGCCCGGGCTCCCCCTGCTCTGGCAGCCTCTGTGGTCTGCAGGCCTGGCCTGTACTGGTCCTAACGGCGCCTCTGGGGAAAGCCAGGGCATGCCCACAGCTTGGATCCTGCCTGCAGATGTGGGCGCCTCCTCTCCAAAACGATCTCTTGGCACTGGAGAAGGTTCAGAAAAGGGCAACAAAAATGCTGAGGGGTTTGGAACGGGTCCTAGTGAAGAGAGGTGAAAGAGGCTGGGACTTTTCAGCTTAGAAAAGAGGAGACTGAGGGGGGATAGGATCGAGGTCGATAAAATCGCGACAGGTAGGGAGAACGTGAATAAGGAAAAGTGTTTAATTATTCCCACAATAGAAGAACTAGGGGTCACCCAATGAAATGAATAGGTGTAAAACAAACAAAGGGAAGTTTTTCTTCACGCCGTGCACAGGCAACCTGTGGAACTCCTCGCCAGAGGATGTGGTGAAGACTAAGACTTGAACAGGGTTCAAGAAAGAGCCAGATACGTTCATGGAGGACAGGTCCATCAATGGTTGTTAGCCAGGATGGGCAGGGAGGGTCTCCCTAGCCTGTCAGAAGCTGGGGATGGGCGACAGGGGAGGGATCACTTGATGGTTCCCTGTTCTGTTCACTCCCTCCGGGGCACCTGGCAGGACCCTGGGCCAGATGGAGCTTGGGTCTGACCCAGTCCGGCCGCTCTTAGGGAAGAGGGCTACTTTGGCGGCTGGGGGGAGGGGGCTCTCCCTTTACTCACTAGCCAGGTGTGTTTGAACCGCAGCCGGCTTGGGCCAGGTGGCTCCCCTGTCTCGCCAGCTGTGCATGGGGGCAGCTGGATGCTGTGGGAGGGCCACGCTGTCCCCGAGCTGAGCTGCCCCGTCCCCTCCCTCCTGTCTCTTGCAGCAGCTCCCAGGAGTTCCTGGAGGTGGATTTCACGCTCCTGGCAGGGGAGAAGGTGGAGTCGCCCGACCTGGAGTATGAGCTGGTGGAGAAGGATGGGGGGTTTGCCCCTTCCCCGCGGGCGGCCCAGAGAGGCTGTGTCATGTGCCGGCACGACCCGGGGCACGGCCCCAGGGCCTCGTTCCCATGGGGAGCGTGAGCCCCAGTGATGGGCTAGCTAGCAGGGCCACTGTGACCCGCAGCCCGGGCCATCCCCACCAAGTCCAGCGCATGGATGCCGGGGGCTCCAGAGGCCACGTCTGTGCCCAGCAAGAGCTGATCTCGGGGCTCACCCCCGTATGCGTCCGGAGCTAGTGACGGGCCCTGCCCCGGGCGGGCTGCCAGGTGGGGGAGGGTGGCGTGCCTTGGGGGGAGGGGCCTGTTTGAAGGGGTTTTCATCTCCTTGGCTTGTCCCTTTGCCTCCCCTGGCTCCAACCCTGCTTCCTCTCA